TGGGAATTATGATGGCAATACTAAGCCAGAAACCAGGCTAGCAGATTATCTTGTGGTCATTCAGATCAGAGGTGGCAATGAGAATATATATGGCCATGTGGGATCTTTCTCTCTACCTTGAGAGATTAGCTCAGGCCTGGCTGAAAATCTGCCAGAGGACAATATATATAGCTGGAGAGAACTCAAAGATGTTTTCTTCAAGAAGGCACATACAAACTCCCTAGAGGATATCAAGTGTTGATGCTCTGTGTTCAGAAGCCTAGGAGTCCGCTCAGGATTACATTTAGATACGAAAGTAGCTCTGCAACTCAGTGGAAGGGGTGACAGAAGACCAAGTGATTCTTGCCTTCCAGCAAGGTGTGAGATATGAGCACCTCCAACTCAAGCTTGGGTGAACGGAGATAACCACCATGTGCCAATTGATGGACATTGCCAACCGGTATGCAAATGGTGAGGAAGATGACATAATTCTGAAAGGCGGGCCACGGAACCAACCAGATGCTCAGAAGGGCCAGGACAACCAAAATTAACGGAATGACAAGAGAACGAGTACCGCCAGTCGGACGGGGTCAGTGGAGCATAGCTGGTCACTGCAGTGGCAAAGCAAAAAAAAAAGTACTGGACAAGCCTTGTTGCATTGACAACATTTAGGAGTTTGGCCCAACTAAGCATACACTATTAGAGTGAAGGGCTCTGAAGAAGATGCAGTTGGCGAAGGACAAAGAAACGACTTATGATGAAGGTGACAAGGAATCATAAGACCCTGCACGTGGATACCCTGGCGAGAAGGATGTCCGGTGATTTTTCTTGGCTGGAGACCAATCGGATGTGGAAAGTCAGGAATCAGGAAGCCAACATGGCAGCCCAACTATCCCCAAATACATGAACTGGTCGGAGAAGCCCATTACCTTTGGCCGGTCGGATCATTTACCTCATCTGTCATACCCCGAACGGCAAGCTCTTGTGGTCGATCCGCTTGTCAACAGATTTCGACTACAAAACATATTGGTGGATGGAGGAGCCCGACTGAACATATTATATGCAAGTACTTTGGACAAAATGAGAATTCCCCGGCCGAGGCTTAATCCGACTCGATGACCTTCCACGGGGTGGTCCCTAGCATCCGAGCCAAACCACTTGGGCAGATCTTTCAAGAGGTCGTTTACGGCGACGAGAAATTTTTCCGCAAGGACTCCTTGTCCTCCACGGTGGTCAACTTCAAGAGTGAGTACCACACCATTTTTGCCCCACGTACACAAAAATTATGGCCCGTCCATGCTATGTGTACTTGAAGATCAAAATGTGATTGGCGAAGCGTGGATGGCCAAATTGTGACATGTGTCCTCTTTGCAAGAGGATGCAAGAAAGGGGGACTCACCTCCTCTACAAGGGCCGCTACACCAGAAGGCTATGGTCTTTGGTCATTGAGAAATACCACATTCTCGGACTCGACACAAACACTTGGCCCTTGTTCGACTCGGTTGAGGCTTGGTGGGCAAGTACATGCGACAGCGCCACACCATTCAGACAAGCCAAGGCATCCCTCACCATGCTCGTCTCATGGACTATTTGGAACGAGCGAAATGCAAGAGTGTTCAAGCAGAAGAGCGCGCCACCGACTACATTGCTTGCCTCCATCACGACTGAGGCTAGCCTCTTGATCATCGCCGGTGCAAAAAAACTAGGGTCCATAATATTGCGAGAGTAATTCCCATGCCGTGTAATCGGGTTGCTTCAGGGCCGGTCCTGAGATTTCTGGGGCCCGGGGCGAAGTCAAGACTTGGGGCCCTCTTAATATTGGTTATCATGTATAATTTGTTTATCAGTTTTCATGGCAAAATTGCATAGCAGGTATGGCATAGGGTTTTTATAGATAGAGAATTGGAGACATACCTTCTCTAGTTGGGCGATCTGTTCGCGGTGATGTATGGCAGAATGGGCCTAGCAATGGGACGTGTTCGGCCAGGGTGCACATGAGATCAAGCGGTAGTAACACCATCACAGTAGGGCGCACAAGAGATCAATCGCGAGGGTGAACCGTGCTAGGAAGGCAATGTTGCTGCATGGTGGTGGTGTGTGATAAATAATTAAGACATGGACGATTGCTTAACAATACGAACATTAGTACTGCACATATGTAAATTGGTTCATGAAATGACATGTCAAAGGAACTATTCAGATTTAGTACTCTACAAAGAAACGAGATTTAGAACTCAAGGTTTAGGCGATGAAAGATTTTCAACAGCTGCATCATTTTATTTTTCTTTTGTAGTAGGACTGAATTTGTATATTGGACCAGGATTACCAGTGCTGGAAGTCAGAGGTAGGAGGTGGAGCGGCTTCTTCTTGCACGGAGATTCGGTGGAGATGTCAAGTCATGCCTGGCTGACAGCTGCTACGCTTTGTCATGTCTGGTCGGCAGGTGCTACGCACGATAGATCTTCCTGAGATTTCAAGTTGTGTCGGCTGGTGGTACTTGGCGGCATGGTGCTAAGGTGTACCGTCGAGGACCGCGACGTGCTCAGCAGTTCGTGCGCAGGGAGGTGCTGAAGTTGGGCGTCATGGTGGTGACGAAGACAGCTAGATCGGGCAAGGATGATGCATCAGTACAACTCTAAAGATGGACTGGTGGCAGTTGACGGCGGCGGCCTCTGAGAGCGCACCGGACCGGTGTATGCCCCATACCGGGCAAGTGGCTTGGTTGGGGCCTCAGGTCTTAGATGTTAGACTTGGCTGCGAGGTCTGTGGTATTAGGCCCGGACTATCAGCATCCCTTCATCAACTGGATAGGAGTAGCGACAGATGTTGCCTAGACGGTGGCTTCAGACTTATTGATGTGTTTCCTTTTGCCATTATCTTGGGGAGAGTCTTGAACATGGTCTGAATTCTTGCTCTCATCTAGCTGGCCAATCAGCGGATTAGTTGATCAATAGATGAACTTACGAAAGCTAGGGTGATTGACAGATGCAAATTGAGGACTGGCGATAGCCCGGTGGTACATGAGAGTGTAGTGGCGCGTCCTCACCGGGGCTGGCTCAACTCCCTGTGGACGTGGAATTTGGCCACATCAGAAAAATCGGATTCAAGTTAGATCACTGTAGCTGCTATGATCCTAGCTACCTTGTTCGTCTTGCGAGCTGAAGAGGAAATATTAGACCAACAAAGAAATTTTGGGAAGGTGACTGCAGGGAAATTGGTAGACTTTTGACTTCCTTTGCGCACATGTTATTTTGTGGAATGTCACACCCTAATTTCTGCAACATATATGGCCATGGTGAACTAAGTCTCAGGCGCATCTGTCTGTGTAGTTTGGCATGCCACAGCTTGGTTGAACCCCTCTGCATCTCCACTGGGAAGGGAGGGTTTGCGAGAAACCTCAAGGGGCACGAGATTGTCGAGCAGGTCCTTCCTATCTCCCAGCAACCTGCGCTTGTCGTTGCTTTGTAGTGAAACATTATTGTAAACAAGCTGAACTCATGTTCTTTTCTGTTGCGTTGTGGGTTGATGTTCTGGGCATTGCAGGTATTGGCCATAGAGGAGTCGTTCAAACACAGGGTGACAAATGTAGTTTTCATGGGTATGGGTGAGCCCATGCTGAACCTCAAAGCAGTTCTGGAGGCTCACCAATGCTTGAATAAGGTATGTTGAATTGGCAAGTCTCCGAGTCGTGTGTTCCCTTGAGCTCAGTTTATTTTCATGATACATTGGACCATAAATTACTTTGTGTATGCTAAATAAGAAGATGTTTGATATGTGTCCTGTCATTCAACATGAATATACTATTTTCAGGAACTAAAGATTGGGCAAAGGATGATGACAATCTCAACAGTAGGTGTTCCCAACACGATAAGTAAGCTAGCATCCCACAAGCTTCAGTCGACACTGGCAGTCAGGTGCGATGTCAAAATATTCCAAACTTGGGTTCTTAGCATCAACAATAGATAATGCGGCCTTGGTTTATGCTTGCTACTTACCAAACTCACTTAATAGTCTGTATTCCTTGTAAGAAACTGCCCCCTTTTGACATTGTCCAAACCCTGGGCATAGCTGGAAGAAACTGTCTATTATAAGCAGCATTTGCTTCTATAGTTTGTTTTCTGACTATTGTGCTGTATTCGTATCAGCCTGCATGCCCCAAATCAGAGGCTGCGCGAAACAATTGTTCCAAGTGCAAAGGCATATCCTCTGGAAGCACTAATGGATGATTGCAAGAATTATTTCCTCGAAACTGGACGCAGGGTATCCTTCGAGTACACTCTGCTAGGTAATCTAGCTATGTCTTTCACTGAGTGATCCATCTATCTGACGGGGATGATTGTTAAAAACTGCATTATGATTTCAGCCATTGTCACCTGACATGATTGAACTGTTCCATTTTTCCTCAGCTGGGATTAACGATGAAAAGGCGCATGCTGAAGAACTTGCAGCGCTGCTGCATGCATGTGGAGGTGGTTATCACGTGAACTTGATTCCCTATAACCCGGTAGAAGGATCTGAGTACAAGAGGCCGTACAGAAAAGCGGTATGCTATCTATCTCAGTCTTAGTCACAATGCCTATCATGGAATTTGTTTGTGATTTGAGATTGTTGGTACTTATGTTTGGAATTTTGCACAGATTCAAGCGTTTGTTGATGCACTGGAATCTCGGAAGATCACAGTCAGCGTTCGACAGACCCGTGGGCTTGACGCTAATGCGGCTTGTGGGCAGCTCAGGAATGAGTTCCAGAAGAATCCTCTGCTTGAGTCGTCCCCACCCTCTGAGCCCAACCAACTGCTCGAGTCGTCTACGCCCTCGGAGCCCAGCCTTGTTCCCGCTTAGTGATGAAATATATATCAATTATGTAGAAATTGAGATTTTGTGAATTTCTACATTCTAAAGTTCACACAGGCCCTGAATTGCTCTGCTCATACATAGATCACCGGCTTATAAGTTATAAAGCTGATTAGGGGGCAGCCTCCTGTAGCTGATGAGCTTATTCATATTTGACATGAGAGGCTCCTGTTCAGTTGAGATTTGAAGGATTTTCTTTAAGCTATGATGTATTCTGCATTAAGTCAGTATATGTATTCGATGAAAGTTCTGTATATTGCTAGAGAATTTTGGAACAAATAGTATGTATGGTTATGCTAGCTGCCAAATCTTATGCCACAATTGTCTGAATTTCAATATAACCGTCCTCCAAAATATTAAAATAATATCAAATGAATTTAAGAACAAATTATCAGGTAAAAGAATATATCAATGAAAACAATTACAAAGTTCTGTTCAAGTATGGAAGTTCTGAGAAGAAACTGTGATATGAAGTGTTACTACAAAAATATTTGTAGTCGATATAAATTATCTGTTTTTTGTTTAGATCAAAGGAGCCTCCGGCCCCCATTTCCAATTAAGAAAATAGAGTATTTTTTAGAAGACGAAGCAATAACATCATACACCCCCAAGACATACATTCTGCCTACATCTGGGGTGCTAATCAAGAAGAAAGAGAAACTTTAACTAGGGGAGATACAGACCCTCTCACACCCAGCAACTACCCTCTACAGAAGCATCACACACTACTGGACTCAACTCATCAGATAAGAGACTAATTTATGTAGTATTACAGTCAGAACATGTAAAAAGGAAACGTTGAAATCATGTAGCAAAGCCGAAAATCACTTCACTGGTAGGCACCTATCCTTTTAACTGTAGGTCCCCAGCCATGGCCTCCCTGAAGATTTTCACTCGTCAGTTGACCAAAGTCTTCTAGACACTATGAGCAGCATTTTTCGCAATCCTCTTTTCTGTGGAAATGTCCACGAATCCAACAGAGAACATAAAGAAATTATAACATTAGTAGGGCAATTAGGAAGTATACACTTTAAAAGCAAGATTTGTTTATTGTTTTCCAGACACTCCATAAAAGTCTAGCAAGACCTACAGAGATTATAGCCCTATCCTTGCAAGTATAGCTAGATAGCCAATTCTGGCATAAATCTAGAAAAGACTTTGGGGTTTTGGAATTCCCCAAAGCAGCCCCAATAACATTCGATAAGAACCTAGCTAGTGAACAAGAAAAGAGCAAGTGATCAATGCTCTCTTCATTGTCACAGAACTCACATTTCCTACTTCCTGTCCACCCTTCGTTACTCAAGTTATCTTTGGACAAAAATCTATTTTAAATAACAAGCTAGGAAAAGGCTTTAACTTTTAAAGACATTTTCGTCCTCCACAACAACTTGTAGGGGAAGACAACATGTCTAGCAATGATGTATTGAGTATGATAAATCGACTTAAGAGAGAAAGTACCCAAGGTTTTGAGTAGCCACTTAACCTTGTCAATTTCTTCAGTCTAAACAACTTGACCACAAATATCCAACATGTCATTTCAGATAGCCAAGGTATGCCCGTACATGCATTTGTCTTTCTAAGAGAAATAATAAACACAATCACACACTTGTTTCTCAACCTTAGTAATACTGACGTCACATTAAATTTAGAGTGAAAACATAGGCACTAATATCAATGTTCTGCCACCAACATACAAGAAATAGGGCGCCTAACTTTTATTGTTTGCTAACTAATAGAAGAAAAAACAAATCTCGCACTGATAAAAGCAGGGAAAATTTACCTTTATTTTTATCTCTATTATCAAAGCATGCAAGTCACATCACTGTCCCGATTTACAGTTGTTGAATCAATAATAAATTTGGACTTACAAACCAAATCCCTAAACCCGACTCTAAGAAAGTCAATAAATTTGATCATGTGGTGTAAATCCTAGAAACTCTAAATCTAACTATAAGATACAGAGGAACCACGATACAGATGATTGTGGAATGGAAAATTTAGGTTCAAATCCTAAAATCCTCAAATCTTTAAATTCGACTCGCCACCAAACCAATATGCCGTTGCCAACAGAGCGCATACTCAACTGCTTCTGCCAGTGGCAAATCTAGAAAGAAAATGCAGTGTGGGTTCAAAGTTCACGCCAAGAAAACCGAACACTCTTTAGAATAAAAAAAATGGTTATTTCCTAATCCTTTTGTGCAAATAAAGTGAAATTTTCCCAGATCACTACCGGAAACATGTAGTATTTATAGATTTTTTTTCAGGTTTTAGGAAAAATATCAAATTTTAAAAGAAGAAAATGTTTTTACCAATTCAAAGAGACAATATGTGCCAAAAATGTGCTCATATTGACATGACATTTCTAAACACCAATACTAGCAGCATGATTGACATACAACAAAGTTTCATACAATCCGCATAACAATACATCAAATACTAGAGAAGTGACCAAAAAAAGACAAAGACAATGATATTGATGTTCTCAATGAGAGCGGGTTGAATGATAAAATTGATTGGGGCAATAATGGATTGAGAAACAATAAGAAGTCTATTTGAACTGCTTGCAAACCAACTATACAAAATCTTTTTTCTTTTCATTTCTACAAAAAAAGATAAAACAATGATAGAAATTAGTTCGTGTATTAATTATAATTAGAAGTAAACTAGCTATTGACTAGAAGTCCGAAACAAAATAGCTATCAACTAAACTATCTACTGCACTAACCAGTGAACTAACAAATTAGACAGAGCCAAAGACAGCCTCCTCTTGGACGGGCGATGGCGGATCCGGCAAGCTGCAGAGGGCCCTGAGTGACGACGCATTCGGCGAGCTGCAGAGGACGGGCAACGGTGAATGCAGTGAGCTTCCGAGGATCCTAGGAGACGAGCTCCCCAGCAGCCCTGCTCCCTCGATGATGGATCGGTGCCTCGGTTGATGACGACGCCCAGAGGGGAGGCGGCGTCCAGGCCGGAGGCTGACAGACGACGTCCGGTGAAGAGCCGGCATCCGTCGTGAAGGTTGCGGGCGGCGTCTGGTGGGTAGGTTTGGTGGTGGCACTTATGCGCGTGCTAATCGATGGTGGTTATTTGCTCGTGCACGTGGGGGAACCTTAGGTGCTTAGCCACCGATTTTGCTTAGATGAGTTGCCTGCTGGACCAGTTGTTTTGGGCTAAGCTTAACAAATGTGTTGAAGTCTAGTATTAAATAAAGTTTAACGAATTTGGAGGCTAAGGTCGAGCCTACCAAAGTTTCTCTGTTGGGTTCCTCACTTTCTTCTGCCAATATAACTTCAACTCCCGTATATTAGCAGGTCATTAATGTTGTCATGAGCATGCGTTAACTCGCTAATAGTTTAGCCGAATTAATGTCAAACATTCTAAATTGTTTATACTAAACTTTTTTATTTTTTGAAAGACATTGATTGTCATATTTTTTTGCAAACAATAGAAAAGTAGTGACACAAAGTATTAAAATATATTGTTTGTATATACAGTCTAATCTTTCGATTAAAAATACATAGGCATTAAGTTGAGACAACAATTTTTTTGCTGATGTTTGTTTGAGACATTATTCCCAAAAGGCTATTTCTTATAATTTATTTCTAGATGAAAGAAAATATCACATTACTCTCTAAATTAATTTGTGGCATTTATGTGTTAACATATAGTTTATTATCTTCAAATAATTTGTGAGCTCTAGAGTAACAAGTTAGAAAGATCTTGATAACTATTTCTAAAGAGTATATAGTTGATTAACTTAGGCATAAATAAATAGAAAGCTCTAGAATGTGTGGGATGCCTACAAGTTGCGCAAAACAATTGTTCCAAGTGCAAAGTCAAGTCATATACTCTGGAAGCACTAATGGATGACTGCAATAATTATTTCCTTGAAACTGGACGCAAGGTATCCTTCAAGTACACTGTGCTAGGTAATCCACCAATGCCTTTACGCCGAATGGCCCATCTATCTGACGAGGATGGGTGTTAAAAACCGCATTATCATTAAAGCTATATATATCAACAGCTAACATGCATCAAGTGTTCCATTTTCCTCAGCTAGGTTAACGATGAAAAGGCGCACGCTGAAGACCTAACATGCATGCGGAAGTGGTTATCAAGTGAACCTAATTATCTATAACCTGGTAGAAGCTTATGACTTTCTCAGCACAGGAGGCAAAAGCATTATGCTATCTATCTCAGTCTTACTTAGTCACAATGCCTATCGTGGAATTGTTTTTGGTCTGACATGGTATGGTGGTGATTTGCCCAGATCCCAGCGTTCGTTGATGCATTGGAATCTTGGAAGATCATGACCAGCATTCGACAGACCCGTGGGCTTGACGCTAATGCAGCATGTGGGAAGCCCAGGAATGAGTTCCAGAAGAATCGTCCTCTGCCCGAGTCGTCCCCACCCATATGGCCAACCAACTGCCCGAGTCATATATGCCCTCAGAGCCCAGCTTTGTTCAAGCTAACACGGGGAAATCTACCTGAATTATGTAGGAACCTAGTTATTTCTGTGTTCTAAAGTTCACATAGGTTCACAGGTCACTGGCTTATAAGTTGTAAAGCTGATTAGGAGGTAGCTTTCTGTGCGTAATGAGTTTATTCCTATTCGACATGCGAGGCTCCTGTTCACTTGTGTTTTGAAGGATTTTCTTTGAGATATGTAGTATTCTACAAGAAGTTAGTATATCTATTCGATACAAATTATGTATATTGATAGAGATTTTTGGAACAAATAATTATGTATATGGTTGTGGAAGCTGCCCAATCTTGTGCCATCACAGCCTGAATTTCTACGTAGCCATCCCCTAATACATGCAAAGAATATATCCAAGAGAATTAAAGAACAAAATAACATGTAAAAAGATATGTGTTGTAATGAAAAATAAATTACAAGGTGCTGATAAGTTATGAAGAGTTCTGAGATGAAACTGAGACATGAAGTGTTACATACAAAATGCATGTATTTGATCCAAGTTCTG